CCCCCAAAACCCCAAAACCCCAAAACCCCAAATTATTCCGGCTTGATTGAAAAGCTAACAAATCCTCATAATTTCAGCTTTCTAAACAAGCATTATGATTTATTAATGATTCTTACTGTGGATTTTTGAGTAATTAAAACTCCATAGTCAGATATTCCTCGTTCTAAAACTATAAATCACTCGAATATTACCAAAACTCAATCTCTAGACTTCTTTATTCAAAGGAGCTGTTAATCCAGGAGCTATCTAGAGCCACTAAAGAGCATTTCCCAAACCTTCTACCCTCTACTATCTCTCAAAACTCCCCTATTGCACCAGTAAGTCTCTTCTCCAACCCTCTAACTGTTCTTCAACCGCCCTATAAACCCAAGAGGGCTCAAGTAAACTCCTTCAAGTCACATCAGTCCTTCTTCCAGGCCAAAAAGATCAAATCGTTATAAACTAGAGAATAGGGTTTATCCAAAATTGGAACTGTAAAGACTACTTTGGAAGCTAAAATGGGAGAACTAGTGCCTAAAATGAGGCTAAATTATACGATTTTTTACTATAAATCTGACGATTTTTAAGTCAAAATATGTCAATAGCTTATAAAAAACTCTTAGTTATGGAACAGGAGAGCTCGGACATAAAGCGACTTTAAGAGGAATGATAGAACGGTCTGTGGATATACTAGGTGGTAAGTCTTAAAGTGGTGTTTTGGCGACCTGATGACAAGCAATTAAGCAGAGTTAATAGGGCCTTGAGTGCAGATTTTGGGGCAACCTTAATTAGATGTTGTATGGACTAGTAAGAATGGAGGTTTGAGTAGCCTCATTTAAAGACTTTCCTCGTTTTTATCGAATTGAATATTATTATTTCCAATACTATTTAGTTGACAAGATATATTAGAAGCATTCTGAAAAGTTTTGAAGTTTTCAATTATTTTAGGAGATTTTCTTGCTAGCCAAGATTCAGAAAGAGCCGGTTTCACTTGAAAGGGAAAATATTTAAAGCATTTATGGATTTCTCCATTCAAACAAAATTTTAACATAATTATTTAAAAAAGCATTCCTTCAGCTACTTAATGACTGAGAATGCTGTTATAATTTGATACAATACAACAAATTTAATCTTAGACTTAAGAGGCTTCTTTTTAAGCTATTTTACAATTTTTCTCTTTGTGAGTCCTAATGTTACACTCAAGTCCTAAGACGATCCATTACTTATCAGAGGGAACATATATAAAACTAAATTATTAATCTACATGTTGGTGTACCATCTCTTTAGATGCCCGAAGTAATTAAAAATTTGGCAATAGGATAAAAAATTAGTAGGAATATCAGATTTTTAGGCAGACTTTATATGTCATAAATCGTTGTTTTCATGATGTAAAAATTATTAGTACTCCTCAGAGTACCTTTAAACCTAACTGGCCCTTTCCGACGAAAATCTGGGAGCTACTATTCACCGACATAAAGGGAGTTAGAAATTTTCTGGGAAACAGGTTAAAAGAACTCCAAGATTTTTAATTTCACTTGATGCTCGTTGGTAAATGCGTGGCAGTAACGATTATAAGAGCATTGTTAGGAAGAAGCAATATTTAATAAAAATTAAGCTAGGCTCTGAGAGTCACCTTGTGTTCTAAATTGAGCAGGTCATAAATGCTACTACTGGGTGGATTTTTACCCCTGGATTTCTTTGCAATTAAGGAAATCTACCAGATCTTCTTGGGTATCTATGTCGTCCTGCTTTCAGCTGGAGTCTGTTACAGCCATCTTTTCCTCCAGCACTGTTGGATGAATTTCCGAGGTAAATATTTTATTAGGAGAGGTACTTTCCTTCTTCTCGCTAGTTCCGACAGTTGTTATATCCTCCCGACTACCAAGTTCTAATTTGGAGCTTTGGATTGAATCAGGACCGATACCACCCTCTTTTAGGCTATGAATTTTCCTGAATGTTCATTGTTCCATCCTCTCTTCATCTTCAGTGTTGGCCTCATCGTTAATAATCTTTTCAAACCTGGTATGATCTGAGCAAGTCTTTTTCCTATGAGATATTTTCGTCTTTTCAAGGAAGTCACTGACTCTCTTAATGCCAACACAGAACATTTGATCAACAATTTTATTTCAGACTTTATTTTTCTGATAGTCTTGAGTTCAGAGGGAATTGTACAGATTCCTAACTTGTTCCATCGAGATCTTTGGTTTATTTGGAGAGATAGAATTCAAGTAATCAGTTATATCATCAAAAGTCCATTCGCGCTTGAGACCGTTCTTCCTAACTATATTCTGCTTTAATTTCTGAGCCAAAAGGGCTTTCTGGATCGTCGATTCCTTTGCAGCCATTGACTTCAGTATTTTTCTAGCTAGTCCTCTATTCTTAGTTTTGTTCATTTTTATATAAGGAAATGTATTTTTCAATATTTTATAAATTATTTGGGGTTTTGGGGTTTTGGGGTTTTGGGGTTTTGGGG